CAGCCATCACGCCCGTGTGCACGCGCTGGGTGACCACCCTGCCCACCGACACCTGCGCCTCCGTGGCGGCGGAGTGGGAGATCTCGCAGGATGACTTCACGGACTATAACGACAACCTCGACAGCAACTGCGATAACTTCGTGCCCGGGCAGCAGGTAAGCCAGCCGTTGTTTCGTGAGCGTGATATAGTTGAATTGACGCGCTTTTTGTTGCAGTATTGTGTCAGCGATATAGAATGCTTCCTCGGAAATGATGATCCCTACTGTTCGAATGCACAGTGAAGGGGGACCGGGCAGCCCACAATCTCCTCTACGAATTGCAGAAGCTGGTTTTTATTGTTTATAATCGTCTCTTTGGGAGACTGTATATATGCATGAGAACACTGGATCCCAAAATCATTTCGTTGTTCAAGTTGGTGTTTCGGCATCACGTAACTAATCAACAAATTAACGATGTGCGCAACCTGCCTTTTTGGGCCTGCCCTCCCTTCATTGCGTCCTCGATGCGCCCTCGCTTGCTTCTTGTCACGCCGCATCTTGCGAACCCCAAGGCCCCTCGCTGTGGTGCTTGGAGCACACCAGTGGCTGCGGTGACCTCTCTCGAGGTCGAATGTGAATGATCATTCAATTTCTACGGCTCCCGACACGCGGCGTCGTCAAACTGACAGCACCGCCTTGTTCTTTGTTGCTCTCGACTGGCAGCTGCTCACCGCGCTGCTGCACGCTGGCTTCATTCCTAGCACAAAGACGCGGTCACGCTTCTATTCCCTGTTCTTGCCATCACCCGGGCACTTCGCGGGCAGACGCGTCAGCCTCGCTCAACATGCTCACATGGCCTCGAGTTCCAAGGCCCAAAATAGCGCCTGTGCTTCTATCTGCGCACAAAGACGCGTTGATTCCGCCTCTCTGGACAGTGCCGTCGAAACATTTTGCGCGTCGATATTCCTCGCGACTTTCAACGGCAAGTGACGCAGACCCAGTACGGCCATTTTGCTTAGTGATTAAGCGGCGGCGGCGTTAGTCCGAACGGGGCCGCGGGAGAAGCCGTTGGGCATCTGTCGGGTGTCTCCGCTTGACCCACCTATGCGCCGAGCCGGGTTCGACTCTCAGAGTGGCCCCTCGCTTTTTCCCGCAGCAACACGGCGGGTGGCTCATCGCAATATTAATGCGAGCGGGTGCGCCTTTGCTCCTTGGCTTCCTTGCTCGCCCAGGCACGCGCAACTTGGATTCCGAATGCTCAAACCAGCACTCACTTGTTCATTCCGGTGCAAATACGCGTCCGTTGCGCTGCCTTAGTTCTCTCTGGCGGAGCACAATCAGGACCATTTGGCTTAATGGTACTGTAGTACCCGATTCACTGTTGCGTGTTAAATACATCCAAGCACACAACACGGCCACACTTCTGCGCATTATCTTCTTCGCTCTTATAGGCTCCTCGCCAGCAGTCGCATCAGCCTTGCTCAACACGCTCAGCGCCTATCGCTCCATCTCGCGCTTGACAGTAAGAGCATCGCGTCAGCATCCGCCCCAGACTGGAGATCTCGGCGCCCGGATTTCCGAGTGGATCGTACATGTGCTCAAAGCGGCCGCCTTGAGAGCTTGTGTGCGGCGAGGCAGGCATGCCTGGGCTTGCGCTGGCATCTTCAGCCGTTTAGCTTCACTGTAAAGCTGCTAAAGCGCAACGATGGCATTTGGTCCGAACGGGGAAAATGACCCCATTTGGTATTGCTCATGTTGGGAACCCCGCCGTCTGGACTGCTGGTGCGCCAAGTTGAGTTCGATACCCGAGGTGGCCGCTCTATCTTTGGCAAGCGGGCAAGCAGCGGAGCTAACGGAAACCCGAGCTGCCCGACCATTCCAGGCAAAAAACATACCTCTGGGCTCCCTGCTGCCGTTTGCAGCTTTGAGCTCCTGGGCCCAAATGGCAACAGAAATTTGCACCTGCGCCTGCATCTAGGTATAAAGAGCATCGATTGCGCACTCTTCATTCTCAGAACGTGCGCTGCAGAATCGCTCGGCAAGCACGGCAGCCCTCCGAGGATGCCTCGCCGGAACAACCTTGGTCGATCTTCGTAGTGTCGCCCGCCAAAAAATCTCCTTCTGAGGCTATTTTTCCTGCGTTTCTGACAAGTCCTACACATGCCACGCTGGCTTCTTGTAGCTGTCATGGAATCCGCTAGCCCTAGCGTTAAGGGTGATCAAGCCAGGGTGTCTGGCGCGCGAAGTGCTTAAATACGGGTGGTTGGGGAAGCCCTCCACCCAGCTCATTTCAAGATGCTATCTCAGCGAGTTTTCACTGCCCTCCTCTCAACCGTCGTTGCGGCTTTGGTCGTGCGGGTTGCCGCAGACGGACCGCGCGCTGAATGCGTTGGTGAGTGCTGTGCAACACAAACTTGTCAATGCCTCTAACTCGATGCGTGGCAGGTAACTACTTGATCGAGTAGGTCGTCCTGTGTCTCACGTATCGATAGCAGCTGAGAGGGCCATTGCAGCAAAGGAGACACCTGTGCCTCGATATACGAATGGAGTGGGGTTAGCGCCAGCGAACTTGAGGCCTTGAACCCCGGCCTGATCTGTAAGCCTTCCTATTGGGCGCGCGGAACAGCACTGACCATATACCATGGATTTTAGGTGGCAAATCACTGGCCCCCTACGTTGGCCAGTATATTTGCATGTCGAGTTAGTCCTAGCCACGTCCTTCCGCGCCGCGTTCTGACCTCTTCTTGCAGCTTATACGCCCCCGTGCACGCTCTTTGTGACTACCCTATCAAACGACACCTGCGCCTCCTTGGAAGCGGCGTATGAGGTCACGCCGGTTGAGCTTTACGACCTGAACGACAACCTCGACAGCAATTGCGACAACTTCGTGCCCGGACAACAGGTACACTAGTCGCTGCTTCTTGTGAGCTGTTATTGATGCCCTTTTTGCAGTACTGCGTCAGCACTAGCCCATGCTTTCCCGGAAACGTGGAACCTTGCTGCGTGCCCAATGCGTGTTAGGGAACACACGATATACGGTCACAAAATATATGTTTTATGTTCGTTTATGCAAAGTATGAACTTATCCATCAAAAAACCTAAATCATCTTCTCTTGACTCGTTATCTTCGGTCTGGGGAACACCGAATCACCGAGCCCACGCTCCCCGAAAGACTGCCTTTCCTTGACTCACACTGAATCCTTGCGACTCTTCCTGGCTCCGAATAGTTAGTATGAGTCAATGTTGTATCATATAAGCTATAGAACGATAGGGTATAAATAAGAGGACAGGTAAAACCAATAGAACCAGCTTTTAACCCTTTAACATCACTGTGTGATCTCTGTCAACTTCAAGACCTTTGCATAGACTAGCTCTGCAAATCTCTCAAGTAACGTTTCATTGCTAGAAAGCTACGCGCTCTCAATAGAGTGTATTTGCAACCACTTTTATGCTTACGTTTTGGTGCTCCTACAATTCAGTTCAATTCAGTTAACAAGCAAAACGTAAGCAAAAAAGTGGTTGCAAATACACTCTAATCAAACAATTGAAGTATAACTAAGATATCATTGAGATACTAAGGTTCGATCATCGCTGCACGCCACCGCCACAATCTCGAACTTCTCTCTCTCGTGTGCCGAAACGACACACCAATAGTCATTCTTGCCCCATCTGCGTTCATCAATCACTCGTAAGTCTTATCATTCAGCTCATCTGATACATTTACGAGTCATCTACAAACTACAATTCTCCGGATTCATAACAATGAGCAGTGCGCGTGATTTCCTCCGCGAATTGCAAAAGAGGTGACGTTTCTTATTTATAATCGTGTATGTAGGGATGAGGAGATTGTATGCATGTGATCGATGGGTCGAAATCCCGTTCTTTCGTTTGATTCAGGCCAGTGGGTGCAAATGTTACGGCATCACGCAACCAAACAATGCGCGCAACCTGCCTTTTTGGGCACGCATTCGCTTCATTTGCAACCGCGATGCGTGTCCTTCCCTCTACTCGCGCTGCCACTTGGGCGCATGTCTCTATGGCTCCCACTCTTCGCGGCTGGGGTTGTCTGAGGCCTGAGCATTCTTTCGGACCTCTCCATAACATGTGCCGTCGTCACCGAGTCGACAGCTTGTCTGGAATTGCACGCCTTGGCTCTTGTTCTCTGTTGTCTCAACTGACAGCCCTCAGCGGGCTGCTGCGCGTTGACTGCATTCTAAGTATTTATCTAACCATGGCCATTTAGCTTAACGGTAAAGCAGCGCGGCGTCATTGGTCCGAGCGGCCAATAGCTAGCCTAATTCTCCCGGTTCAAACCACCGCTTGGACTGCCTATGCGCCGAGTTGAGTTCGACTCTCAAAATGGCCTCTCACATTTTAAGCACCTCGACGAGTGGCTCATCGCACCACGGACGGGCACCGGCAGCCACATGCACGAGCGGCTGGGCTATTTGGCTTCACAGCGAAATACTGCGGTGAGACCGGTCCGGCGCAGGACACCGCAGATCGCTCAGTTGGCTCTATATATGCTACAGCAGCGTCGCAATCAGCGGCCGTTTAGCTTAACGGCAAAGCACCGCGGCAAGATTGGTCCGTGCAGGGAGGCAGACGCGTCTCAGTGTCTGGCCACTCCGCCATGGCGTTGTCCATATTGGGCGATCCCCTGCGATGCAGGTGGCTACTGCAGAGCAAACCTGCCGTCTCTGCTTGGACCGCCTGCGCGGAGAGCCGAGTTCGACTCTCGGGGCGGCCAGCGCATTTTGCTGTGAGGACTTGCTGCCCATGCCCTGGAAAACTAATGCAATGCAAAGTGATCCCTTCAGGTAGCGCTTGCGCGACGATATTCAGTCGAGGCTCTTATGGACTGCGCGTGCGACGAAGTGAGCTCAACATTCAGGGTGACCGCTCACTTTTTGGGTCGCCGGCATGGCTAATCGGGGTGTAGATTGCGTAGTTGGCCTGTGACGCGTCGATGGTCGCAAATCTGCTTCCTAATGGCTGGTGCACTTGGCGTTGCGGAATATTGGCCCTTTAGCTCAGTGGTACAGAGCGTCGCGGCGATCTTGGTCCGGATACGGGAGGAAATTCAATCCCACCTTTATCTGGACTGCTCGCGCGAAGAGCTGGGTTCGATTCCCGGAAAGACCGGTGTCATTTTTACGGCTGGTCCAGCAAGATGTCACAATCTGTGTGCGGGGCGTTCAATAACCGCGCACAGGGGCGCATTGAATGCACGTGCAAGCGCGCACGGCTAGGTTTTCCGCAGATCGCCTAGCTGGCCGCATAGATGCTACACCAGCGTCAACTGAGCGAGCCTGGTTATGTAGCATTTGCACCGTGCACGGTGATGTCTAGGTCGGGACTCTCTTGGACTGCCCATGCGATGAGGTGAGTCGACTTTCAAGATGACTTCTCACCTTTTGGATGACCGGCGTGGCTGATGAGATTGTGGATCACAGTTGGGTCTGTGGCTTATGATGCGTTGGTTTATGGGCCTTGCCGCGAAAATCTGTTTGATATTGACCCGCGCGCTTGTCGTTGAAGAATGCTGGCCATTTAGCTCAGTGGCAGAGCGCCGCGGCGATTTTGGACCGGATAAGGGAGGACATTCCAGATCCAACCTTTATCTGGACTGCTTGTGCGGGGAGCTGGGTTCGATTCCCAGAAAGACCAATGTCATTTTTGGTGGAATGGTTCTCGCAAGCAATCTGTCCTTGACGCGAATACGCCTGAAATCGCGGTACACGAGTGCGTGTTGGCTGCCTCCGCCAGCACACACCGCGGCGCTCCGCCTCCGCCAGCACAGTCCGCCCGACTGCCCACGTGTGCTCCACCGGCGCCCATTCGCACGGCCGCCTGGCTTAACGGCAAAGCACTGCGGAGAAATTGGTCCGAGCAGGGAAACGAGCCTTGGCTTAACCCTCACGGGAGTAGCATCCTCATTGCGAACATTTCTGGTTGGACTGCTAACGCGGGGAACTGAGTTCGACTCTCGGAACGGCCATGTGCTTTTTCTCACTTGAACTGTTGCATTTGGTGCGTAAGTGCACATTGAAGAGATTTGCGGGACGTACACTCAAATCTACGCTATTCCGCTCAGTGGTAACGTATCGCGGCGAAGCTTGGTGCGAACGGGGCCGGGGGTTTGTCCGGCGGCTCCGTTTGGACTGCATATGTGGCGAGTTGAGTCCGACTCTATACTCAATCTGCAGGGATTGTAGGCCTGCATCTAGCTTTGCGGTTTTCAAGATTAGAAATATTCGCTCGGCTCTGAACTCCTTGATTGTAGAAAACATAGAAGCCAGGTGCTTCTGTGAAGCATCTTGCATGTCTGATACTTACTAGTGCGCCGCTCGTGGAGGGAAGCCCACTGTGACGCGACAAGGAATGGCGGCGGCGGACCTGGGGCCCTGACTGGCATCCTGATGCCAAAATTTCTACATCAACGATCAGAGGCAATGGTCAATATGCCTAATACTGACCTTCTTGCTTCGAGGGTACCCGCAGTGAAAGGAAGGGAAATTGTCACTGTCATGTACCACGGACGATGGTGGTCTGACTGTGTCACGAGTCTGAAAATCGAGAACAAAGTGCAAGATGACCCCCCAGCGCCTGATGATTTTTTCGTTGGTTCTAACGCCCGCCATAGCTTCGCGATCCCCTATTTATCAAATAATTCGCTCGATTATGTTGTTATATATGAGAATATCATTAGATAGTATATTAGATACAGTAATCGCACTAAGCTAAGTTGCATATGGCTAAACTCATGCTTCTATGAGATTCACTTGGGACCTCAATAATAGTATCAATAGGAAGGTACGAGTATCCGTTTCAAAGTTGGAGTGTACTCTTCAACCTCGACGAGACTCTGGCAATGTCCCATAACAGTCAAAAAGGCTGCCTTTTCCACCAAGAGTTTATTCAGCGTCCCACCGGCGTGTCTTCTGGCGAGAAGCATCTTGAGAGTGGACATCGCATCTGGGCGTCCTGACAGATGAAGGGCCTGTAGATCAGGCCAGTATAGAGGAAAATTAGCTCCGGACACAACTTCACTCCTGCCAAGGATTACTCGAAGATCCTCGAGTTTGGCCTTTCCGGCCTCATATGTGAGGTGAGTGATGTATCGACAGCCGGTTGCGATCCCGAGTACTTCAGAGGTATTCAATTCACTTGAAAGGATAGCGAGATGACGAAGGGCGGGGAATTTTCCTCGTCTAAGTGGTTTATTGCCCCAGTCGAGGCTTGCTACGTTGCGAAGGATGAGAGTTTCTAGCGCAGGTGCGTTCAACGCTGTAAGAAATGACGAAATGTGACCTGGAGCGTCCATATCCTCGATGTTAATGGAGAGAGTAGTGAGATATGGGAGAATGATTAGATTTTCTGAAGTTGCCATGATCTCCTCTTCAAGCACAAGGTTCTCCAACCACAAATGGAGCAGTTTGGGTGTGTGAAATAGCACATCACTTTCCATTTCATCGCATATGATTGTGGTGACAGATCCTAAGATCTGGGAAGGTAATAATTCCTGCCACAATATACCCTCAGCACAAAGGGTAGTCAGGAGTGGAGCTCCACCCGAAAGCATATCTGGTTGAACGCGACGTCCTGGACTGTCGAAACTATAACTGCACGAAAGTTTTATTGTCTGTAAGAAGGGAGCTCTTTTCGCGGATAAAAGATCGAGATGACGAATCAACTCTTTGCGAGAGCAAGAATCGATGAAGAGGTGGCAACAGCGGGCCATGTGTGGAGCAATCAGCTGATAATAGGGCTCTGTATCGTCATCTGAATCGGCTTCATCGTCGTCGTATCCAACGGTAGCGTGAAGCTCGATAGGCATGCGCTTTGACCTTTGAAGGTATGTATCAATGGCATCGAGGGATGTTGGTGGATTTGAGATGCGGCGAATCCGGGTCCAAAGCTTGGGTGTTCGAATTGCGACTTGCCGCCAATGTGTTGTTACGTGAGAGACGCGCATTTCAGAGTGATACACATAGGACCCATATCGTGTCTGCTGGGAAGCGTGCGATTCTTCGAATATCATAGCCAGCACTTCGTTTGGCAGTGATGCAATCGGTGCAGTCTGATTCACAATAGTGCTGTATTCGATCTCCAGCGACCGCAAGGTTGCGTCCAGTCCTGCGAGTTGCGACAGAGGGGGTGCTCGCATGGCTTGTGTACGCATCTCCACCATTTGTGAAGAGATCTTAGAGAGTCGGTTCTGTATAGCCTCTTGCATGATGTGTGTTTATTTACTGAGAAGACGATGACATCAAGGTCATCAGTAGCCGAATGTACAGATTAGTTCAACGATATGACTGACGTCGGGTGCTCTTCGGCCTTTCACTGTTTCTCCAAGCAGGACAGGAGTACCAGAAGAGAAGATATCAGCTAGCACGGTAGTTGCAGGGCGGAAGAGTGTTGTCCGAGTCGTGGTCAAGTCGTGGTCCAAGTCCAAGTCCAGGTCCAGACGGATTTAGTAGGCGCGCGCCTGTGCACCGTTCCAGCTTTCTTCCTCCGGACTTGTCCTATGATAGCAATCCTCAAAATCAAGCCGCAAGCGATCAATAAAAATGAAAGGGCAAAGCTTGTAACATCTCCAACAAAAAAATGGTGCACGAGGGGCAACGCCACTAGCTTGCCACTACCACAACGCCCAAAGAACCAAAAAGCTGCCCCACTGAGGCTCGAACTCAGGACCTTCCGATGAAACTGTTGATTTAACAGTCGGACGCTTTAACCAACTTAGCCATGGGGCACGATGAATGCCAATCTACCCTGACATTTTTAATCCACCAGAGGATGGTGGAATTTCTTATCCCCGGAAGTATTGATTTGGTGTGTACGGGCCAGTGCAAAGTTTAAGCATCTACTTCCAAGCTTCAAACTTAATTTCATTTCTTAGACGAATAGGCGGTGTAGACTCATTGTGCCAATGCTCGACCATAGTCTTTCAAACGGAAGAGCGGGTAGAATAAGGTGATAGGGATTTTCGGGGGTGGCGCGGTGCAACATTTGAAGCCCTTGCTGCGCTCCCCTAGTGGAGAACACATGGCTCGCAACAATGATAGAAAAAATGTTCTGTTTGGTTGAGCAGCGTCGCCCAGGTTTTGGTAGGCCTACTCAGTGCTTAGTGATGTGGGATGGTCCAGGGAGCCGCACGGATGTAAAGCAGCGAGGACAGAAAACAGTTTTCATGAATAGAAAATGGATAAGATACGTGTCCGATGCTTGGCATAAGAAGTGGGTGTGATGTTGACAGCAAGAGATGCTACTACTGTGTGACGGCCAGTCGGGATCGACGGTGCGCGTAGAGTTAACTTGACGTTATTCTCATTGCTAGACACGTCGCGACGACCAAGTCCTTCATGAATAAGCCCGCCTGGATAAATCAAAGGTTAGTCACACATTCATGGCTATAGATGGTCATCAAAACGCACGTCATATATTGTCAGGAGGCCGTCTTTGTGGCGGGCCATGGTACGACATTCATACACGGCGACAGTTATTTGCCCGGGGCCTACACACTGCTAACTATCAGCCGACAGCGAGTATAGCTGGAAAAGTCGAACTTACATTTAGGTTGTTCCCCAGCGATAATTTTCCCGACCACTGCCAACTGTATTGCTGCCTATCAGGTCCACGAAACGATGTTTTTGTGTCTGGGAAAGTGGCTTCGACCAATCTTGTTGTACATGACGGACTGGAGAGGCAGCGTATGCCTACCTCTAGGCGATATGCAGGACCAATTGGGCTCGACCTAACCATCTGAACAATCTCGGACCCATCTTCCTGATCTCTGCGAAGCACCGCACTCCAGCTTAGGTATTCTTTGTGCTTGTTGAATGACAGATAATATCTGCATAGCCCGGTTGATCAGTTTGAGTACACGTATGCTTAGCAATTATACCCACAGTGTTGTCGCTTTATCTGCCGATTTCACAATCTTGTCTTGGTCGAAGATACCCGTGGTCTTTGGCCTGTACACATGCAGCGAAAAAGGAGAGTCCGTCATGCTATGTATATATCGTGAGCCGCGAGTCGCGATATCCATAGCTGAAGGAGACCTTATGTGAATGCTCATTGATCGCGACGGCTCAGGGCGCCCGAGTGCGTTTAATCGAAGCCTCGGATGCCATCACAAG